CAGTGTTTGGCATCCCCATAATATAGCGCCTTGTCTGACGGCCAAAAAGTGTAATTTTTGAAAAGAACCTTCTTCCAGTTGACTTCAAAGTCTTCCAAAAGTCCTTTAGAGAATTCTGAGATTCAGTGATTTTTAAAAAAAAATCTTTTTGCCCTCTCTCCTGAAAGCTTTGACTGATGAATAACAGGAAACCGTTGTGTTGTGCAGAGTTTCTCTCATCTTAGTTGCTGAAGCTTGTAACTCCTTCAGAGGAGTCGTAGGTGTCTTGGAGGCCTCCCAGTCTCCTCTCTTTCTTGCATGTTTTTAAGGAGATCTAGGCATTTCTTCCATTTCTTAAATTGGTTTTACAGGCACTGCATTTGATCATTCTAATCCAGACTGAACTTTTTTGAACTGGACCCTGCTGAACATATTCTGTCAGGCCACTAGGTGGCAGCAGATCTCTTACAACCAAAGAGCGGTGGCTGCAGATGAACTGATCTCCAATCGGTCCAGCATTTTCAGTCCCTGCAGGTATTTATTTGGCTCCGATGTGACTCGGACTGATCCTGCAGCAGGTCTCAGTGTTCTCTGCTGCTGTTTATTCATTTTACTGCCTGTTTCGGTAACAAGTGGTCAGTGTCATTTTGCTTGTTGTGATGTTTCCATAATTTGTGACTTATCTGAACCAGTCCGTCTCATTAAAGACCTGGATGTGATCTTCAGGGCTTCATTCCCTCCATTAAACCGTATGACTTTGCCTCCAGCATGACAGGCCAATAGCTGAGTCAAAGCTTTTTTTTCTACCTAAGGTATCACATGTCACCACTGAGCCATGCGGCTTACAGTCGGGAAGTTAAGGCACTTCCTTCTTCCTACCACAGTGTTGCACTGAGAGCCGTCACTCGAGCAGGACCTTCGTGGCGATGGGGATCCTCGAGCTCCTCGCTGCTTCTCTCCTCTGACTTTGTCAATGTCACCGGGTCCAGTCAGGGGACACGTCCAGCTGTTTAGTGCCTAAAAGTGGTCGGAGTGCAGCTTTTGGTTTTTCATGCCACAATGGCTGCGACGTAGCGCAACTTTTGGATCCAGGGTGGATAATCGACAGCGGCGCAAACTTTTACGCACTTGTAGGAGACGCCGAGGAGACTTTCAAGCATGAAGAAGCAGTTTAATCGCATGAGGCAACTTGCCAACCAGACTGTGGGAAGGTGGGTGTTCATGCTTTATACGTTGGTGGCCGTGGATGTGACAGATCGTGTAGAAAAAGGCCAACAGGGTCTGTAGCTGGTGTCTTCCTTTGTCATCTGTGTGCCTGCTGTGGGCGGCGTCGGAAGGGCCGGGCCACATACCTGCACACTGACCAAGTTCTAGGAAGTAGAACAGCTGGACTCACACACATGTTACGTGGACTTTTATCTGATCGGTTGATTTATTTACTTGAGCTTCAGATTTGGTTTAACTGACTTTTAAAGTCTCCTTTTATCCGTGGACTCAAACTGTGGTAGCAACGCGTTTATTACATTTAAGGCTGCAGCTGAAGCCTGTTTCATTATGAATGAATCTGTCAGTGAGTTTTTAGATCAGTGGTTTACTCTATAAGATATTTATTGATGTGCACAGTAGGAGTTTGCACATTGTAGAGGCTCTGCAGCCATTTGGCTTTTTATTGTGACCAAGTGACTCACATAGTTGATTTATGAGCAGGGCTGTTGGGTATTATTGGTTCTTATTAGCTCCACTTAGTTTCATTTAATTTCCTCCAGCAGTAACTTCACTATCCCCACTTTTCCTGCATGTTCAAGGTCTTTTGCACACAGCACCTGTTCATTACTCTATTGATTAATCAAACGGGTTTGGTCTGTTAAATGTCAGAAAATGGTGAAAAATGTTGATTAGTGTTTTAACATGACTTCTTCAAATGTCATTTTTGTCCAAAACCCAAAGAATTTCACTTTGCTGCCACAGAGGAGCAAAGAAAACAGGAAATGTATGGATTCTGTTTAATAGTGAACCACCCCATTTAAGTGATTATCAAACTAGCTGCAGATTAATTTCATGTTTGAAGGCTTGCCAGGGTTAGGGTCCATCAGCAGCCACCACAGAGAGGACATCTCATTTATTACTGCATACATCTGCAGCTGTCGCTTCATGAAGACACTTCAGGAGGACTTTCCAACCCTGAAGGCACTGGCCTTGGATTCCTCACATACGTTGCTCCACTTGTTGTGTAAGAGCAGTAAAACTGAGCTGAGCTGAGTGGCAGCTTGCTTATTGAGAGGCAACACACCCACTGTGGATGACTGCTGGACAGACTTCAACATGCTGGGAATCCTCGGGTGGCGATCGTAAGAAAGTGCAAGTTAGGAAACAAATGGATGAAAAGTAACTTAAATGATCACAAGGAAGGCTTCAATGTGAACCAGTCTTCATTGAGCTTAACTGTGGGGTTGATTGTGGATTTTAATCCATGAAGTAACATAAAAGTGGATCTTTAACTTCCTTTGAGTGTCTCTGTTGTCCACAGCGTCTGCACTCATTTTGACAGAACTGAACTGAAGCTGGTTGCGACACAACATGTGGTTGACAAAGCAGTGAATCTGTGCCCCCCTCCCCTCCCTGCCATGACAGTTTGTGATGATTTGTGGTTTTGTGTTTGGCTCAGGAAGGGCCGGACACAGAGGCTTTTTGTGGAGTAAGCATTTCCACGGTTGTTGACGGGGACACGGCGGAGAGCCGGGGACGTCGCATCACCACAGAGCCGTGTTTTTATAAAAGGGGAAGCCAGTTTGATTTGCATGTGATTAATAAGAGGAAGCAGATTGATGCACATGGAGCAGGGCAGCAGGGTTTCTGGATGTGAGGATGAACTCACACACAGAGCACACTTCAGCTACACATCATCTAACGCTGTGATATGAGCATGTCCTTAGAATCTGCATCGTGTGTGTGCAGTTCAGTTCTCACACAGACTTACTCGGTCATGAGGTGCACACAACGTATGTGTTGTACATTTACTATTCTTCGACTCTCTGTGAAGTTTTCTTTAAGGCTCGGCCGTGGTGGGAGTCTATTCTTAGAACAATAGCTGCTGTCCGGAGCTGAGCTGCACTCGGTCGAATCAATGCTAATTCAGTATCGATAGGAATCTAGAGATTGCACATGGAGCACTAAAGGCTGATGTGTAATGTGATCACGGGGATCAGCGTGGAGGTATTCTGGCTGCATATCTAATGCCACCTTAACCACTTAAATAAATGCCTTGTTTGCCTTCTCTGTTTGCAGTCTGGGTGCATGAAGGTGATTTGTTCGTTGTTATACTTTCTGCTTTAAATCAGTTTCTTCTTTGCCTAAATAAAAGACATAATGCAGTGAAATTATCATCAGAAAATCAGAAAATGTGAAAAGCCACAGCACACAGAGCAGAGCTGGTATCTGATGCTCCAACAGCAGCTGTCTTTGTCAGGAAAAAAGGTTTTTATACTAAAAATAAGGTTTCAAACAAGAAACCAGAGTTTTCTCAACATAAACAGTCAAACTTTGCATTAATGAAATTGTGAAACTGTCTCATCAGTAGACTGAAGCTCACCATCAGAAGAGCCCAGGACCTCGATTTGCATATGAAAGTATATGAAAGAAATATAGTTAAACGACTCATTGATCATCAAAACAGCTGTGAGTTGTTGCTTTAAGGTCTCTAAACATCTGATTCTTGACAGTTAAAGTTGGTGCTACAGATGAATCTGTGATTAATATGTGTTATTAGATAATAAGCCTGAATACTGAGAATGTTCTCCGGCTCCACTGGTATGTTTCAGTTCTTATTAGTAGGAATGAAGAAGACGGGTAGCTGGTAGATTTGCTAAATTCACAAACTCTAACACAAACCTTCATCAGAATGCCTCAGTGGACGTCAGATTAAAGTAAAACCGTTCTGTCCTTTAGTGCTGATAGGCTGTTACTGGAGACGTAAAAAGACGGACAGAAGAATGACTTCATTTTCTTGGGTTAATATCAAATCTGATCCCTCGTTTCTTCGTGCAGTAGATCTGACCTCTGCATATTCAAACAGCAAATCCGTCAGTTCTTATTAAAATCTGTCTATAAAATAAGAATCTTTGGCTTCTGACTGATTTTAAGTTTTGCAGAGATTTAAAAACATCTGCAGGCAGCCAGGACGTCTGAGCAGCCGACTTCAAATGTGGTCCGAGCGTTTTCGATCAGCGGTGAGGTCAGCCTGCGCCGCACCAGGAGGCTGTAACATGAAGATCCTATTTTTGAGTCTTACAGCAGTATTAGGTAATAAGTGTAGCGTGGGAGCGGGTTAATTGATCCCTGTGAGAGTTGGATGTGTGGCGCTGGTGGAGGGAGGGGAGACGCCTCCAGGGAGCTGTGTGTGGAGCTCTAGTCCATGTGTGTGCTGGCGTATTCATTCCATATTGATAGCGTGAGCGATGACCTCGTTTGTTTATCTCACCAGCTCAGCAAGATTCAAAACCAAAACCTGGACAACAGCGACTGGTGTCTGTGCAGGAAGAGTCCGAGGTCACATGACGCAGTAAATGTGAATCCTGTTCAGGACGCTCGAGGCGTGAATTTGGCCTTTTGTCAGCATTTCCTAGAAGTTTTGGAGTGATGTCACGCTATCATATTTTCCACCGACTGTGCTACAATGCGCAGTGTGTTTTGGCGTGTTTCAGACATCAACATGCCACTTGGCAACTCCCACACAAACACACACACACCTTCCCCTGTTGCCATAACAAAGAAGGTGCAGATGATAGAACAGGAAGCGTGTGTTTCTGACAGAGTGGAGGAATCCGACAGGTTTCACATGGAGACCAGCCACAGTGGGCCTTGGTGCAGACATTCTGAATATGTGTGTCAACTAGACGTTCTCCGTTGTTAAGTTAAAAAAAAAAAAAAAAAAAGGGAACCAAAGAAGAGCTGCACTTTCTTCAGAGACGTGTGCGCTTATTGTATCTGAGTGAAGCCACATTCAGTGAAGCTCCTACAGCTCTAAGACCGAGTTATGCTCCTTTACAGATGTGCACATGAACAGCTGCAGACGTTGCGGATGTTGTTTTACTACTTTAGTCTTTAGAGTCTATTTTGGGGACTCTGTTGATATGTAGGTCATATGTGTGAACCTTGTTTTGTACAAGCACACTGCTACTGAGCACGAGCAGTACTGCCTACTGATGTCACGGTCAAGTTGTTTTTTTGCTATTTTTCCCCGAGTGTTGTAGATGAGCTGCAGTAAATTACTGTTAGATAGTATAGCAAAGTGGGTGGTAGGCAAAGAGCGTTGTAAGGGTTTAGGTAGTAAAGGGCCACCATGACAAAGTCTTCCGTGACGCCTAGTGATCTCCAGCCAGCGCACATCTGTGTAGTTTGGCTGTGATCCACTAGGAAAGCGTTTCCTTACCTGACAGCTGCCTTTGTCACAATGTCATGGTCCCCTGTGGTGAATCTGAAATAGAAAAAGTGTGACACCTGCATGACATGGGACATAAACAAAGGATCAGGGGAAGGTTCGTGGTGATGCTAGATGACCTTAATCTGCTCTTAGTGTTCCCAGAATGCATCTGTATCACCGCACACTGTGTAGCTACGATAAACGCCGTCGCTCCCCTAAGTTGGACTACATGTTATACTGTATCCAGTGTTATTATATTATTATTATTATTATTACTGTTGTTGCTGATTTTGTGTTGGTGTTGTGTTGTTTTTCTAGTATAACAATTTCCCTGGGGTTTAATACCGAAGGGATCAATAAAGTTCTATTCTATTCACTTCTATTCTATGTTGCTTAAAGCTGTAAAACTACACGTGAAAGGCTTGGAACATGCAGACATGACACAGGAAACCTAACTAAATCTACACCACTCAAACTCTGGTGGACGTTTGCGTTGTCGTGCGTGTAGAAGATGCACCACTGGACCAGAACCGAGACACATGAAGTCAACAGAATTTGCACGAGCGAGTGACGTCTTCATGTTTATCAGTTGAACGCATTTAAGATAACCTCGTTTAGCTGAAGTGAAAATAAATCAGCTTCAAATGTGATCATGAACAGCCGAGTACTTACAGAGAACCCTGACTCGTGATTGGCTGCAGGACTCCAGCATTAATTAGTAATTGAAGAACAACCCTGAACTTAATCACTGACGACCAGCTGATAGCTACAATCTGAACACAATAAGATTTAAATAACAATCACAATAATGAAGTATTTGAATTTAAACATTTGCAATCCCATGAGTCTTTGTTCATGTGCAGAAAAACCAGGACGTATTATTGAACTAAACAAGCATGTGGGCCGAAAGTACAGAACTCTCAATATAAGCAAATAAAATTAAAAGACTTACATTAGGGCTATTATTAGTTTAAGTGCCCTGTTTATTTTCAGTCAGCCTGTTTTGCGTTCACAGTACAAACGGCTCACAGCAGCTCATAATGCCTCGTATTGTGCTTCCTGGCGAGGACATCAGGATAACGTTTTCGTGTGGATTTTAGCGTCCTGTGGTGATTTGCTGCAGACGGTGCGAGCTGCAGACAGGTTGGTCTGGATGGATTTAGCTTTATGGGCTGCTCATTAGTTGTTTTGTTACAGCAAGTCAAGAGGAATAAAGCTGTGATGTCCCCGAGCTAACGTGGCTCACACACAGCAGTCAGCAACATGTGGAGCTGAAACAGCTGCACTTGTTCTTCCAACGCAGAAAAGTGAGGAAGCACGAAGGAATACTTGTAGTTTTTCCACCTGTATACACAGGCTGTCCCCACAGGACAGGTGTGTCCCGGTGCTGCTCGGTTGTGAGTCTTCATCGTTGTCAGTCTTTAACTGCTGGTCTTTGTGTGTCTGTCCACAGGGCCGAGAAAACCGAGGTCCTGAGTGATGACCTCCTGCAGGTGAATATCACATTTATTCCTTATATTTCTGTTTCCTGGTGCTTCAAGCATCTCCTTCCTTCTTCCATCTTTGCATTCATATTATCTCATGTTGTAAAACGCACCTGAAGGCAACTTTCTCCACATTCAGGTTGGAACTGTGGGTTTTTAGACAGTGAGGGAAATGCTAGTTACCCTCATTCAGACGTTTTTATGACAGCTAGAGCACGCAGTGCATTCTAGCAGCGTTTTTCTTTTGTTTGTTGACACCAGTCGCTAAACGAACTGCTCTGATAACTCAGAGTGTTCTGTTAGCTGTGGCTCTCTCTAGCGTGCATGTTGTTCCTGCTGCTTTCCACAATCCTGCTTTCTTTTACTTTAACTGGTTGTTTTTTTATATTCAAGTGTTTTTTATGAGCAAATTGCTGAGCAACCTTTCTGACTGTATTTGTATTTGGAGGTGCAGCCTGAAAGCGCCGCGTCATTCATTAAGCAGAATAAGTTTCATGCTGTCATTTTGCTTTGGCCATAGAACAAACCACGAGGCCCTCACACTCACGAGCCGACTCTGTTTCTGCAAGTCTGACGGATGAAGTTGTGCCTGCAAGAGACGGCACAAGAGGTTTAATTGTTCACCGCCAACTTATTTTAAACTAATGCATCTGAATGCAAAAGCAGCTCTTTCAGAAGTCGTAAAATGCGGAAGTCATCAAAGGACGTACGAGTTCCACTCAGAGCCTCTGTTAAAGCCATCAGGCCTCAGCGGCTCGTTGAATCCAGGCCTCTCTCTCTCTCTCGCTCTCTTTGCCGTCTTGGAGCCCAAATGCTGGCATTAAGGCATTACTGGGTAGTCTTTCATTCAGTAACGCCTCGCCAGATCCAGGGTTTGGCACCGCAGGAAGAGAAGGGCCTCATGGTTTTCCACTCAAGGCAAACTCTGGCAATGTTCTGTTATCTTGAAATCACTCTGGACGTATGTGTTGTGTGTGCGAGGGGGGATGGGACGGCTCTGGCTGGTGGGACTGTGAGATCACTGCGAGGAAGAGAGTGTGAATAACTTTGACAAACTGAGAAAGACAGAACATGCTCAGGGAAGAAAGGGACTTTTGTGGAAGGAAAGTAAAGTTGAAGGAGTGCAGTGAAAGCTGTGGACAGCCCTCGTTCAGTCATGGGAGTTTTATGATGTGCAGCAGGGACCTATGAACTGTGTTGACACGCAGCGACACACAGCGAAGCTACAATTTACTCGTTAAATGTGCTTGTTTTTTGAGGCAAACTGACCTTCCACAGAAAGCTTTTCCTCATCTCTGGGGCTTAGCGCTGCCTTCGACATTCCTGCAGCTCCGGCTCTCAGTGAGGAATGTGATTGTCAGGATGTCTTTTGGCACAACAACTGCAGCTTCAGGTCAGAATCTGTGGTTCTGGTAAAAAAGACATCACATACAGTCAGTTTTCAGATATGCTGCCTGATTACAGTCATCTCTGTGAAATGTGTGGCTCCCACTTCACTGATTCATCCACCAATGAATCAGTATCAGCGTTTGTAATTTAACCACACTGCCTGGAAAAACTTGTTCCCCTCTTTCCAAACATGAGCGGAGAAAGAATCATTTTTCCGATCCCCCTCCCCACAAGCTCCCACAACCCGGTTCTGCGAACAGCCCGACCTGAAATCTGACACTATGGTTTCCACGGTGCTGTTGTAGTCTTTTCCATTTTTCCGTAGTCCTTTGCATTGGCTGAGGCATTTATCTTGTTGGGACTCGTCCCGCCTCGCTGCGAGAGTCGAGAAGGCCGTCGGACTGGATCTCACGCTGGAGGCAGTCGCTGCAATTTGAATACAACTGAGGATGTGATGGACTGATAATGGAGCAGAGACTGAATCATGCTCTTATCTGATACTGTACGTTAAGCAGCTGTCTGATTACAGCCAAACTGTAGCTGAGCAGATTGACTCTCATGTTAGTTCACTGAATGTGTACTGGTTAGCTTAGCTTAGCATAACAGCTGGATGTGGCAAACATGAATGAATGAATGAATGAATGAATGAATGAATGAATGCCCTTTATTGTCACTATACAGTGTACAACCAGGTTGGAGAGCGCCTCCTATTTTCAGTGCAAGTAAAAACAAAATAAGGTGCAAAATTGCTCAGAAAAATATAAAAGACAAAAAAGGATAAATATAGAAAAAGAAATAAAAGATTTAAAAACTATTGCACCAGATGATGGATATTTACAAACAGTCACACGGTGACAGAAGCCACTTATCATTCCCTCTGCGGTTAAATAAACACTTTATTTCTCGTTTCTTGGCTCCACAAGTGTTTCCTGCCTTTATGCTAAGCTAAGCTAGCCAGTAATTAAAGGCAGACATCTGGAAGAGAATTTAAAAAAACATCCCAGAATTTTACAAATACAGCCTTGTGCATATGTGCAGGCGTGGAGCTGAGAGCCAGAACCACTTCACACACACCCCGGATCAACCTGTGGAGCCACCAGGTGCATTTTACAACGTGGACTTTGCTGCTCTTCTACTATCTCACCTGCTCTGGGTGGAAGGACCTGTGATTGGCTGAAACCTCCTGTCAGGTGCTAAAGACTGAAAACAGAGTCGAGAGGAGGAACAGAAGTTTAGTTTCTTGTCAGACCACTTGAGTTATATGTTACAAGGTTAGTGTGGAGAAAAAAAGACAAAAACCAGAGCGTGCCCAGTCCGGCTTTACCTCCTGAACTCCTGGTCAGTAGAGAGAATTCAAGCCTGTGTTTTGTGCAGCAGAACAACGCTGTCCCCACAGAAGTGACGAAAACCAAAAAAATGTCTTATTTTAGAAAAGCTTAGAAACATGGGCAGCATTGTTGAAGTGCTTTTACAAAAACTGTGACTCAAACTACTGACATTTGTGTTTCCGTCTTTCATGTTGACACAACCTGCAGTTCAGCCGACTGAAGCTGAAGAGTTCCTGTTTTTACGTGGCGGGACTGTTGACTGCAGGAGAGTCACAAATGGCTTCAGGGTTGCATCAGGAAGTGCAGAATTTTTTGATTTTTTTCTTTAAAACCCAATATGCTTAAATCAGAATCAGCTTTAATGGCCAAGTCCGTCCACAACAGACAAGGAGTTTGGTTCTGGCTGTTGGTGTCGCCCTGGGAATGAGCACGGAGAACAAAAAATAAAGTAAAATAACGATAGAAAGAAAAAATAAATAAATAATAATCATCAAAAATAAAATAAGGTAACAAATATATAGAAGATAAATGAAGGAATGCTTTGTTTCTGGTGCTTGTTATTGTAAATGAGGGATTTGGATAAATAAGCTGTGATTTGCTTCAGTTTTCCAACCAAGCAGCACGTCACAGATGAGAAGTTCAAGGAGCTTCAGAAAGTTCAAAATCTGATGCTTCTTTCTGTCTGGCTCAGATAAATGGTGTAATTGCAGCGTTTTGTTTTGATCTTTTTTAAACGGACAGCGCACCTTTCACGCCTGTCAGCGGCTTACTGGACAGACTGAGCAGATTCTTGTCCAACTCCTTCCAAAAATGTGAAACTAATCCTTTAAACAAACAGATTTTTTTGCTTCATTTGAGTCCCGTTTCTGCTGCGTCATCGGCTAGTCAGACAGTTAGCCGTCCTGCCAACCAGGTCAGCCAGCTAGTCACCCGTCCCATTACCAGCTACTCGGTCGACCAGAGCAGCTCAGAGCCAGAAAACAAACTCGTGTCCGCCCACCCGGTTCCTCCGTGACTCACTCGGCACTCCATATTTTCTGCTGGTCAGGGGTCATCGGCTCACTGTTCACTGTTTTCATTGCTGTCTGGAAAAATGTTGGCAATAACCGGCCTGTAAACCTTTGGACAGCTCCGTGGCTGGAGAGGGGAAGGGATCGTCTCTGCTAAGTGTGTGTGGGCTCGTCTGCTTCTGTGATCAAGTGGTCTTCCTGTTTTTTACTCTTTGACTTCAGTGTGTTCTACAGTGTTTCCTTCATTGAGCTTCTCCCAGATGATCTTGTAAATCCTGCAGCTTCATGCGTTGGACTGACAGGGTGATGCCCAGCACACACTAATCATTACACCTGAGTCACAGCGACACGCGAAAAAAAAAAGCCGTTAATCTTTGAAAAAACCCTTGTTTGACTGAACTGAGGGTGTTTCCAGAGTCTCTTCTAAACATCTGTCATCTAAAACGGCATACGTCCAAGCTGCTTATGTGAGAACACGAGACAAAATGAGTGCGTTTCTGTGGATAAAAGCAACATGAAATCATCCAGAAGCACTGGATGCCAGCGTACCAGTCATGTCCGGCTCCTGGCATTGTTTGGAAAAGGAAACCGTGTGATTAACCCTCTGAACTCCAAGCAGGTTCTGGCTGTTTTCTATTTGCTTTTGCCACATTTTTAGTCGCTGTGGGTCCATTTCAAAGTCCTGTACCTCCCTGCAGACAGAACAACCACAGCTGGAAGTGGAGAGAACTCAGAAATGTCTTTTGTGCAGGAAATCACAATTAGAATGCCCTAAAAGATGCCTTCAGAGAAAAAGTTGAAGTTTTTTGACTATTTATTTTGCAACAACTGAAAAAACAAACTAAAATGGTGACTCTACGTCCAGCGTGTGGTTCCGTCTCCGGCCTGCTTTGGGTTAACACTGCCTGCAGTTCAGCTGAAAAGTCCCTGAAGTTTGGTCCCATGACTGTTGGTCGCCGCTGAATCACAAATGGCTCCATTGTTATGCTGAGGAGTGAAGAGTTTTTAGTTTTTCTGCAGAATCTGGTAGAGCAAAGGCTTTACTTTCTGTGATTTAAAAAAAAAAAGAGAGACACATAGAATGACAGGGTTTTGAAGTGAATTTCCCTTCTGGAATAAATAAAGTATTTTTTATTTTAATGAAATATCAGGATTTAAAGCTGAGATATTGGTTAAGTTTCCTGCAGATTGTTAGTTCAAAGACTGTCTGAAGGTCAATTCTTTCTTAGTTTTCTCATAAATGGTGTAATTATGCATTTAAAAGAAAAAAGACAAGATGCCTTTGAAAGCAGCTGCCAGGTTTTGGGGTTCAGGGGGTTGAACTTGAATGTGATGGTGACGGCTCTGAAGCACAAACTGAGGCTGTATGATGTCCATGTTAATCACCTAGCCGTGCTGGTAAACACAAGCAGAGACGGATATTTAAACTTGGAGTCATTTCACATGTGGATTGTGCAAAAGCAGCCAAAGCCTGCGTTTCCATACGTGATGTTTTGTACGTTCAGCGTGAGTCCGGAGGCTCTTCTGCTGGACTGACGATGTGACCAGTGAGTCCAGTCCACCGTACCGCCCACACCGCTGCACTCACTCAGGCCCCCTTTCTTCTTTCCTACTTGGCTCCAAACGCTGGACGTCTGGATCCAATCGAGCTCGACTTCCACGCATTAATCAGAGCCGGGGATCAGCTGAATGGCGGCTGAATCAATTGGACTCGGCGAGGAGGCCAAGTCCAGCTGTGGTCTGGCATCACGCAGCAGCTGTAGGAAGAGTGTGTGAGAGAGAAATAAAGAGAAGAGCGAATTAGTGAGGATGAAAGTGGAGGAAGACGATGGGATCAGACGTAAACGAGACGCCCTCAGATGTCGCTGGATGTTTACACCGGCGCAGGAAGAGGAAGAGGATACTTATGGTAGTTGGGCGCAAAACCGTCACGGCACCAAGTCTGCAGGAGGAAGTGGTCTGACCTGATGGTGTTTATGATGTTAGAAATGCTTCACCTCATTAAAACCTCACTGTTTGATGAACTACTGCCCACAGGACAGTGAGCGGGGATGTTCATTCGTTTGACCTGAGGACTGACGCTGCGTTCTTTCCACCATTTCCTGAAGCGCACCATAATTATTAACCTGCAGCTTGTTTCCCAACGTATAGAAGTGGAGAGACTTTAAACCGATCAGTTACGGTCACGCGGTCATGAAGCTGCTCTCGCTGGTGTCGCATTCAAGGAAAATCTGACAGAGTTGGATGTCAGAAACTACAAAATTTAGATTTTTTTGTAAGTAATCCCTTGAATAACCCCCTCCCCCCTCACTGTTGCCTTTATTGCTGTAATATCAATCAGTTTACTGCACTTTGGTCGTAAACTAACCAGAAGAATATCGTAACAGTTTTGCATATGTACACACGGAGATTGCTGTCATTATCCGATGCTAAGCTACTATAAACTGCTGCTCCATGGAGGCGCCAGAGGTGTGATTACAGGACTGCTTGTTCGTCAGCACGGTTACACAGATGCTGTTTTAGTCAAAGCAGGTGCAGCGGTGGAGTTCAGGCAAAGCTAGAGCCAGTTGAATTCTGGTGCAGGTTTAGTTGATCATACATTCAGAACAACAACAGGAGCATCAAGGAGTCAAAATAGAAAAGTGTGAAGTCGTGGTGGAGTCAGTTCATCGTAAATCTGTCAAACCTGAAGGGTTCCATGATGTAATGATGCATAGAGGTCGTCATGTTTACCTCATGATGGTTATTCCTGTAATATCTTCTTATATTGCAGCTCAGTTCACATACATTTATGACTTTATCAGATTTTTATATAATTTCCGTGTGATGACGTAATCATTAAGACTTTGCTCTCTTTTGTGTGCTGATTTATCCACAAACAGATTTTTCTGGTCTGACTGATTAAAACGCTGCGTTCTGGGGTTAAACTGGGACAACCTGACCTCAGGCATCTTCAACAGCTCAGGCTTTTATGTTTTTACACTTTTCAGTCTTCATCATTCAAACAAAGACTAAAACATGTTTTTCACTCAAAACTACTACAAACTTTTTGAACGGTCTGACCTGCTGAGAGTCATCCTGCATTAATCAGCCACCTGAAGGATGACAGTGACACGACCGTCCTTCTTTTTACAGGTCTGTGTCCTGAAGCAATGAGTGGCTGTTAGGAGCTGACAGTTTATTCAGGCAGGGTTTCCTCACGTTTCTTACGAAACACTACAAGCATTTAAGTTACGTGGCCGACCGGCACACCAGCAGATTATTACAGTCAGAGTTCAGGCTGGTCTGCACAGGGACTTACTGTGTTGGATACTGATATGCAGTTACAGAAAGGTTTTACTGTCATCACTTGGTAGCTTACAGACCTCCTCCTGAATGTCTACAAGTTGTTTAATTTAATTTAAATGTAGGGTTTTGCATGCAGACTCTTCCTGCCGTGTTGCTCCGCTACGTTACAAACCCAGCAGATTGGATTTGACACACACTTCTGTTCGAGGCACATTATCATCACTTTCAAAAATGAAATGAATGACAAGTCAAACAATCAGAGCTGTGCACGACTAAGTTTGTCTTTGTTACGGCTCCAATTCACTGTTTCTGTGAAACAAACACAAGCACAGAAATCATCTTCACCGATTTGAAAACGAGTTAACAGCATTTAGAAAAACACTGAGATGCATAAAAACCCGACAGCAAACAGTGATGAACACAAGGTGAGAGGATGTGGTGAAAGTGGTAAATTATGAACTTCTGTAGATCTTAGACCAAACATCTGACCTTAAGTCAACAGAATTTTTGCATTTCACTGTTTTTTCTACTTTTATTTCTTACTTTGCTGCATTTTCTTTCTAAATCCTGCGTATGCATCGTCAACCATTTTTTATTTATCAGTGTGTTTTCTAAAGCTGATGTACGCAGAGATAGGCTGAGGTTACCGTGGTACCAGGACAGAAAAACGTTCAGGTCTCCTAAACCGGCGGATCCCTGGAAAGCAGAGGACTGGTGTGAAGAAGTATGTTGTGCTCTGAAATATGTAAAGTATGCTTCAGTGTGAAAAGGTGAAGACGTACGGATAATACCTGCTCCTGAAGCGCAGCCAGCAGATCAGGCCTGCAGTATGTCTTCATATCCCACAATCCATCAGTCTGTGTTCCGAACCGGCGCTGACTCCTTCCATGTGGCTGTCAGTGCTGCAGCAGAGCACAAGACAAACAGCAACAAGAGCAGGACGGACGCTGTAGAGGTGTGCTGCTGCAGCACCTGTGCTCTGATTTGCAGTCTCACCTGGGTTGTGTCTGTCGATCAGGAACTTGTGTGTTTCCTTCGTGCCGGTTCGGCCCGGCGAGCAGAACTCTCCCGGCCTGCATGGGGGGTTTGCTAACATTCAGTGTCTCGTGTGCAGATCGAGAGGCGGATGGAGCTGGTACGCTTGGTGTCACACAACACGCACAAGAGGCTGGTGTCGTGTCTGCAGGGTCAGCTGGGCACGGACACCGAGAAGAGACACGTGAGTAGAACTTTAACCTCATGTTCACATCATCACACCGACACAGTGAGAGAGGCTGCTGCTGCTGCTGCACACAACTCACAGGCAGATGAACCCTCTGAACCCTGGAAGCCTCCAGTCAGGCTGAGAAACACGCAAATATCACAAAACTACACTGTCTATAAGACAAAAGCTGAAGAAATGTGAGAATGGTCACATAGATGATCAAGTCTATGATATTTGATCAAAGTCACTTGTATCACATAAAAATTCTGCAAAAAAACCAACAAATGCCCTCCTGCTCAGGACAGCTGATGTAAAAAAAACAACAACAAAAAAAGGTGAACCAGCGTTCCTGCGCTGATGCTTTTATATATAACAACAATAAACTTTATTTTTACAGCACTTTCCAAAGCAAATGTTACAAAGCGCTTTTCAATTAAAATAAATTAAAAATTAAAATCCAACAAGCACACAGAATAACTGATAAAAGTAGAAAGCACACAAATAAAGCAGGAAGCTGTAAAACATAAAATCAGGAAAAGCTCTCAGAATAAAATGTGTTTAAGACGGCTTTAGATGTTGTATGAAACATAAAGAGTTAAACATGCAGTGGGAGGTTGTTGGACATGTTGATTTCTTTTCTTTCTTTTTTTTTTCTATAATAAATAATCAAAGAAATTCTCTTTTTATTGTCATTTAAGTCACTGTAATTTTGTTTTACGGCCCAGAAGAGTTCTCTCTGCTTCTTGTGTTGTTTTCATTTCACTTTATATTTTAGCTAAATTTTGCCCAGAGAGACAAAAATTGTGATTTTTAAAAAAAAGAAAAAACCTACAGATTTTTTTTTTT